GAGACACCATTCGGTGTACAGCCAACACCTCTACGATTTCGAGCAGAGACATCATTCGATGCACATCACCGCAGTTTGCTCCACACGAGCCTCCCAAAGCATTCGTAGAAGTCCTGGACAGGGAGCACAGTTGGCTCTGCAGCGGGCAAGAGCCCGGCAGACGTCTCGCTAGTGGCTGCGTCTGTGCGGGGGGTCGACGCTTTCTCTCCAGGGGCTGTATTCCATATTTTGCGTAGTCGATTGGAACCGATGCCGAATCGTTGTCTTGTTTCTTGTGCTGGGACTTTTCCACGCATCTTGCGAATCTCCTCCACTTGGTATTGTGATAGTTGTCTTTTTGGAGGCATTTGGTTGCGCAGTATATCTACATTCGCAAAATATTGTCTATATGGGAATCTAGGGCACACTAGACATACTAGGGTACACTAGACAGAACCTAGAAGTTTGCTAAGTATTGCTAAGTATTGCTAAGCATTTGCTAAGCATTGCTAAGCATTTGCTAAGTATTGCTAAGCATTGCTAAGCATTGCTAAGCATTTGATAAGCATTGCTAGGAGTTTCCTGGGAAAGGTTGGGATTCCTGGGAGAGGATTGGGATTCCTGGGAGGATTGAGATTACTGGGAGAGGATTGGGATTCCTGGGAGAGGATTGGGATCCCCATATAGACAAGTAGGAAGTATGGGCATATATATACCCAGGAAAAACCAACCATGCCACCAAAAAAGAAATTTACCTTCGGATAAGATCCAAGAAATACGCTCCCTTCGAGGGGTGCTCCCAGCAAGCGAGGTCAAAAAGCGCTTCGGTATTGGGTCCACAAGACTCTACGACATATGGAGAGATCAGATCGAGGAAACCATCGAAGAACCAGAAGTATCGTTGCCAGGCGACAACCAACAAGTATCGTTGCCGGTCGACGAACCACAAAAGGTGACTCGGGATAGATCGAAAGTAACAATACCTGGTAGTACGTTACCAACCATCCAGGACTTCTACGATCGCCTGGGGAGTCTCGAGACTCGTGTGGAGCAAACCGCGAATACATCGTCGAATTTATTGGTTGACATCCTGTCGAGGTTGGACAAGGATGATGACAATGACGAAGTCCTGGAAGAAATAGAAGAGGAACAAGAAGACACCCGTCTGGGTATCCAGAAGGTGCGGGAGATGGTAGAATCAGCCCAAAGGTTAACCTATGTTTCGATAGCTGCAGTATTACTCTGGAAGGTCATCCACAAGACATGGAAGCATAGCAAACCAGTTTCCCCAGCAACACCCAAGCCCCAAACCCGGACCCCTTCCGCATGTAGTAACATTCATTTAGACATTTGATTTCGCATAAGGTATACAACATGTGGCCCGTGGGAACTCATTATTGCAAATGGGTATTGCTCGGCAAGCCCACAACCTGCGGCAAACGCTGTATGACTGAATATTGCCACTCGCATGCCCACTGTGTGAGAAAGGGTCATGTTAATTATGTTTGCAAAGTATGCGGCATAGGGGTCAAAGGACATTATGGGTTGTGCAAAGACCATGGAAGGGACGTAGTTCGAAACCAACTTATTTACGATAAGAAGAAAGACTACCTCAACGAACGTAACCGGCTGCTCAGGACGAAAGTTTAAGGGGTGATTCATATTTTTTTGAAGGCTGACGGGATTATCTGCACATTGAAAACGCCCTATTAGACATGTGGCTCCGCATATGGTATACACCATGACTACTGTCGTCGAACTCAAAGCTCTCGCCAAAAGTCGTGGACTGGACGGGTTATTCCGCCTTTAGGAAACCCCAACTGCTCACCTTGCTCGAAATGAAATATACCAAGCCCCCTACCGTGCGAGATCTCAAACTCCGAGCTAAAGAACGGGGATTGAAGGGTTATTCCCGCATGAGAAGAGCCGAGCTGATCACCTTGCTGGAAGACACCAGGCCAGTCGAGTTGAGATTCGTGCCAGCAGACGCGCCCGTGGGTAGAAAGTATCTCGGGGTTGGATAATGACGGTTGATTCCAATATTGATACCGGTACAGTCAAACCCCCCATCGCTAGTAAACTCCGCGAAGAACTAGGCGACTTGAAAAGCATCAAGTACCAACTAACGATGAAAATGGAGCTCCAAAAGCAGAATACGGACGGTAGTACTGAGTACGTTGCACCCTATTTCAGAGGTAAACAGGAAGCCCTAACCCAACCAGAATTGATTGAATCCTCCATCGACGCATCGTTGCAGAAAATACAAGAGTCGTTGGAGAGATATACCCATATGGGCTCTGGATGGGTGGTAGACAAAATCAACACCGTTTATCTCGACATAGCGAACTACATGCCGCTCAAAGGTGGGTCGCACATACCGGTGCCCAAGCATTTCAAGGCTAAAAAGGCCCTCGTTAACCCCAAAACCCAAGGCGACGATGTTAACGATTACTGTGCGGTGGTGGCGGTCATAGCTGCTACGCATGAACCAACAGGTAATCCGGGCAGGCGTTCCAGCTATCCATCGATCGAAGAATCGGGTTCGACTTCACGGGTGTAGAAGCGCTTAACACCCATCTCCTACTGGGCAATTGAAAAGCAAAACAAGGTGGCCGTCAGCGTGTTGTTACGGTCCGCGAAGGCGATAAAACCATCGTGCATAGGATTAGCCCTGTGGACGATAAAACCGTCATTAGAACCAATATATTCCTCATCGAAAAAGGCGGCCAGTATAACTACACGGCAATAAAAATCTGAGCCGACTGTTGCCGCGATCAATCGATGCACAGAGAAAAGAAACACTTCTGCGAGCGATGTCTGCGCGGTTTACGCGAGCGACCTGCTGCAAGCACACCAGGGGATTGCCTAGGTGTAGGGAGGCGGCGATCGAATTGACATGCCTAAGGAAGGCGACAACATCTTGAAATTCACCAACCACAAACATCAGATGCCTGTGCCTTACATGATCTACGCAGACTTGAAGCCCTCATCAAGCAGATTCGACCACGGCGTGCCCAACACTGAGCAAAGTTTTCGTGCAAGACCCAAGAACACCAAGCCTGCGGGTTCGGTGCGTAGTAGATCGATGCGATGGACAGGCGAGCGCTCCAGTCATCTACCGAGGTCCTAAGCGGCGGCGAGCGATTCCTGATGTGTTTGCAACAGGAAGAGAAAATCATCAGGAAAAGGCTGTACAATGCTGCCCCATGCGCATGACTCCGAAGGACCAAAGTAAGCTCACAAAGCGTGCTGAGAATTGCCACATATGTCAGGGGCTGCTGAATGGGGATGTTGTGAGAGATCACTGCCACATCACCGGCGGTACCGAGGTGCCGCCCATAGCGATGCAATCTCCAGCTTAGAATCAACCCTAAAACAATCAACATCCCGTGGTCTTCCACAATCTGAGAGGGTACGATGCCCACCTGATCATGCAGGCCATCTCAAAAGTCGGACGGTGATATCAAGTGCATCCCCAACAACATGGAAAAATACATCTCGTTCTCGCTCCAGCGGTCTGAGATTCATTGACAGCTCAGTTCCTCCTGTCATCGCCGATAGTTTGGTCAAAGCCAATGACACCTTCCCCATCACTGGCCGATACACCAATGTCGGGACTCGGACCCTGCTGATGAGGAAGGGTGTGTACCCATCTGACAGTACATGGATGATTGGCTTAAGTTCGATGAGACCCGATTACCTCCCTATCGGCCAATTTTACAGCAGCCTGACCGAATCCCATATCTCCCAAGGCGATTACGACCACGCGCGCAGAGCGTGTGGGAGAAACTGGGATGTAAGAATCTGGGTGACTACCACGACCTGTACTTGAGAACGGACGTGCTCCTGCTAGCCGATGTGTTCGAGGCGTTTAGGAGGGCGTGTTTGAAACAGTATCAACTTCGACCCTGCATGGTACTACACCAGCCCCGGTCTATCGTGGGATGCGCTGCTGAAGAAAACCGGAGTTAAGCTGGAATTGCTCACGGATTACGACATGCACCTGTTCATCGAGAAAGGCTTACGAGGTGGGATTTCCATGGCCGCTAAGCGGTGCGCAAGAGCCAACAATACGCACGTGGAAGGCTACGACTCTAGCAAACCCACCAATCATCTCCTCTACCTAGACGCCAACAACCTGTACGGCTGGGCTATGAGTCAGTCTCTGCCTACGGGTGGGTTTGAGTGGTTGGACGATGAGATCGATATCCACGAGCATCGGCGCCGGATTCGGGAAGGGTTACATCCTCGAAGTGGATCTGGAGTATCGAGGCATTGCACGCTGCTCACAACAGCTACCCGCTGGCCCCGAACGGTTGATGGTCTGCCGAGACTGGATGTCCGACTATCAGCGGGACTTGTTGGGTGAGAACACCCTGGCTCGGTGGAAAAACTTCCCGAACTTGATGAACAAGACCAAGTATGTCGGCACTATCGCAACCTGCAGCTGTACCTATCGTTGGGTATGAAACTGACCAAAATTCATAGGGTGCTGAAGTTTGATCAAAGTCCTTGGATGGAGCCCTACATCAGAATGAACACGGACCTGCGAAAGCTGGCCACCAGTGACTTCGAGAAGAACTTGTATAAGCTCATGAACAACTTCGGTGTTTGGTAAGAGCGATGGAGAACCTGAGAAAACGGGTGGACGGTCAAACTCGTACGATCGCAGCAGGAGGAAAAACTCAGGAAACTGATCGCTAGCCCGCCTTCAACCGAAGCAAGCTATTCGATAACGACTTGGCGCTGCACATGAACAAAAGTCACATCAAGCTCAACCGACCCGTCTACGTGGGGATGAGCATTCTCGACCTGTCCAAACCCATGTATGATTTCTACTACAACCAGCTCAAGAAGCAATACGGTGATCGATGCGAGCTGCTGTACACGGACACGGATTCCTTGTTGCTAGATATACACACCGAGGGGCGGTAATGCGAGGACATGGCAAAACAAATACACCTGTACGACACCAGCGATTACCCCAAGGACCATGCCCTACACAACACGATCAACAAAAGGTCCTTGGTAAGATGAAGGACGAATCGCGCAGGCACACCCATCGCCCGAATCACGCCGGTTTGAGGCCTAAGATGTACTCCATCTTGAAAGCTGACAAGGGTGAGATCCGAAGGCAAAAGGGGTCAAGAAATACGTGGTGAAACAACACATCAAGCACGTCCTCTTCAAACAAGCTCTGTTCAAGAATAAGACGTTCAAACACCGAATGAATGCGTTGAGAAGCGACAAACACAACATCTACGGCATCACCCTCAACAAGACGTCGCTGTCGCCCATGGACACATAAACGGTGGATCGCGCCCGGCAATCCACGACTTTACGACTTTGGCGTACGGGCATACGCTCATAAACCACTGAGTGGTGAAATTAGTGCTCTTAGTTGACCTGGGCTGTGCATCGAATGGTGTCTCTGCTCAAAGCGGAATTGGTATATAATGACACTCTTAGTTGGCCTGTCACAGAATCCCATTCTATGACTGGGAACTTAGCATCCGGCGCCGTCCTCGTTCCCGCCCGGGGGTTGCCGAAACTCTACAGATTTTAAGGCTCCTATAGCGGTCTGGGATGTGCATCGAATGGTGTCTCTGCTCGAAATTGTTAATTTATACTGGGGGCTGGAAGCGGAATAGATATATAATGACGCTCTTAATCGGCCTGTCACAGAACCCCCATTCCCTATACTACTTACGGTGATCGATGCGAGCTGCTGTACACGGACACAGATTCCTTGTTGCTAGATATACACACCGAGGACGTGTACGAGGACATGGCAAAACAAATACACCTGTACGACACCAGCGATTACCCCAAGGACCATGCCCTACACAACATGATCAACAAAAAGGTCCTTGGTAAGATGAAGGACGAATGCGCAGGCACACCCATCGCCGAATACGTCGGCTTGAGGCCTAAGATGTACTCCATCTTGAAAGCTGACAAGGGTGAGATCCGAAAGGCAAAAGGGGTCAAGAAATACGTGGTGAAACAACACATCAAGTACGTCCTCTTCAAACAAGCTCTGTTCAAGAATAAGACGTTCAAACACCGAATGAATGCGTTGAGAAGCGACAAACACAACATCTACGGCATCACCCTCAACAAGACGTCGCTGTCGCCCATGGACACCAACGGTGGATCGCCGCCCGGCGGCGTCCACGACTTACGCGTGCCGTACGGGCACACGCTCATAAACCACTGAGTGGTGAAATTAGTGCTCTTAGTTGGCCTGGGATGTCTATTGAATGGTGTCTCTGCTCGAAGCGGAATTGGTATATAATGACACTCTTAGTCAGCCTGTCATAGAATCCCCATTCTATGACTGGGGAACTTAGCATCCGGCACCGTGTATTGCAGTCCTCGTTCCCGCCTGGGGTTGCCGAAACTCATGGTACCCTATAGGGGTCTGGGATGTGCATCGAATGGTGTCTCTGCTCGAAATTGTTAATTTATACTGGGGGCTGGAAGCGGAATAGATATATAATGACGCTCTTAATCGGCCTGTCACAGAACCCCCATTCCCTATACTACTACAGTTTTAGAGTTCAGCTCCGGAAAAGAGCACTACCACAATTTCAGGCTAAGTCAAACTTGTTGCCATGGAAACGCCAACAATATTTTATTCAGAATTCCAAAACTACCAAAAGGCACCAGTACACAACCAGATCTATCTATGTGCCAAGTTTGGTGAAGAAATATTGAACGGTTTTAGAGTTCTGCTCCGGAAAAGAGCACTACCACTAATTTCATTCTAAGTCGAACTTGTTGCCATGGAAACGCCAAAAATATTTAATTCAGAATTCCAAAACTACCAAAAGGCACCAGTACACCACCAGATCCATGTATGTGCCAAGTTTGGTGAAGAAATAGTGAACGGTTTTAGAGATCTGCTCCGGAAAAGACAAATGTGCACGGACGGACGGACGGACGGAGTCCATTTTAATACCCCCCGCAAAACGTGTTGCGGGGGATAATAATATCTTGAACCTACCTGACATATAAATACTATCACTTTTAACAATGTCTGAATTTTTAACAATGTATTGATCATATAATATTGACAGATTTTGAAATTATAAACTATTCTTCACAATGTTATTGAAAAAAAACTATTCCTGGAAACATGCTTCGGCAACGGGTCCACTTCTAAGCTGTCAATGAGCAAAACTGGAAATTTTAACTATAAATTTTATATTCATATACTTCTCCAATTTCATGGTATGCACTTTTCTCGTACTTAGACTATGGCGTGGAAACGTGCTGTAGGCTAAGTTGAATCAAAACTTCTGGCCTCTCTCCCACTGGTAGGGAACTTGGTCACAGTGAGAGTGGAGTCTTTGTGATTTTTGCGACGGAAACTTTGCGATATGTCACAGAGTCTTTGTGATTTTAGCATCAGCAAGGGAAGGGTAAAGTACGGTAAATGACCTGTATGCCTACAAAATCAATATTACAAGAGAGTTGAATTCACATTTGCTTACAGTAGGTTTCCGTCAGTAACAAGTAAATATTATGATGTTCAGAAAGCTAGAGATAATCATGAAAAACCATGAATTTTCACGAAATTAATCCTTTTTGATAAATAATCGGTATATTGTGACAAATGACCCCCCAAAAAAGTGTAAAAATAATACAATGTGTTCTGATTAGTTTTTATCACCTTTCATCATAAAGCATGTGCTGTTTTATCAGCGAAAAAAGTGCACATATCAATTTCCATGCATTGGTCACCTGACCTTCATGTGAAGTGTGCTAAGCGCTAAGACGGTCACCTGACGTCCCACTACTGTCATTCTCTTTTGTCGCCTACAGAGGTGGATGTGTGTCATGGTCTGTCTGTCTCTAATTTTCATCATGGGGAAAAGTAATCGATTTTCCAGAAAGAGAAAACACTGTGACCAAGGCAGAAGTAATTTTTCTGCCGCTGATCCTCACACACTATGTGTTGACTGTATTGGATGGTGTGACTGGTCTCACCGTTGCTCATATTGTTGCAATTTGGACGATGAAGCATTCACCGCATAAAGTAGAGTGGGCACAAGAGGCATTCCGATGGTCCAAACATTCGAAGCGAGATCGTCCCTACAAAACAGCTTGCCGATCCTCTACATCACCGTACGAAGATTTTCTCGATGCTGCATCGGATTCTTACCTCAGCGAGAATTTACGCCGGTTATTCCAGCCCCAGACATCGAGTCCAGTATCAAGACAGACTGACTCCCCCCCCTCGGGTGGTAGTACTTCATACCATGCCGTCACAGTCCCGACAGACAGCTTTAGTGACAATATCTCAAACACCCAATACGGTAATGTCAGCACTTCTGGCAATGTGTCTCTATATTCTGGCTCAGCAATTAACATGCCTTCACTGACTTCTTGTAGTGTGAGCTTGTCTACGGCGATCCCTCCAACTCCAGAGATGATATCCGAAGTGTTTCCGGTGATTTTCAAATTTATCAGTCCATGGGACTGGTAAGCCTCAAATGAACCAGTCCCTTATTATTTTTACCAGTCCACTTCTTTTTTCATGGTAATAAAGATAACAATATGAACATGTGTGTGTTTGTATTTCATTTTTACTAAGAATAAACGTATCAAATTGCATTCAAACATAAAATGTGAAATGACGTCATGTTATCAAAACTAAACAACAACAGTTTGTTTGGCAGTACTTGTACAGTTATCAAATGTTAATTACACTTTTCAATTTTTTTATTTTTTACTAAATAGTTCTGCTGCTCTCGCGTAGTCGAAGTGATCATTAGCATGCATGTTGAGAATCATGAGATTGTTCATACGGTGCTGCGCATGACAGTTTCTTCTTGCAGTGTGGATTCTACTTTGCAAGCTAAATCCCCTCTTGGCAGGCACACTACTCACCGGTATTGTGAGCGCAATTTCAGTGAGAGTACTGAAGTCTGGGAAGATGTCAGCATATTCAGTTATCAGAACTTTGCAAGTCATGTCAAAATTGCCACTTCCAATGCCAGAATTGACACGTTTGAATTGCAGGAACTCACGCCATCGAACGATCCCAGTCGATATATGGCGTCATGATGTCATTGTTGTCTTGACCAATCACAGGGCAGAAGTGATCTAATAGCACCGTAAGGGAATCCCCACTGTAATTAGCTAGATCTTCTTTTGTAATTAGCTAGATCTTCTCTTGTGTCAGGACATTTGTCAAGTCAAAGTCAAAAGTCAAAAAGGAGTTTATTTGTAACGAGGCCAAGGGCCCATATACAATATATAACTATACATAGTTAACAAGAGCATACAAATGAAGTCTAAAGTGTTTCTAAATACCTATTTCTTTATATATATGAATGGTAAATGTAATACTGTACATGTCTGATTAAATTCTCCCGAGTTGCACATATTTGTTAGGATTAAGACATTGTCCAACGCTTGCAGAAGGTCTAGACATTTCTCAGGGAATCTCTTATCCAGGGAATTTACAAGATCTTCAACAAAGCATGTCCTCATTGTATTGTAGGCTTCCACTGATCGTTTGTCCACATACATGATTTTTATTCCTCGGAATTGACTTTCTCCCTCTTTCATATTCTCTTCAAGGAACTTTTCATTCTCCCCCTTTTCTTTAATCAAATCTTGGAGTGATTCCTTAGTTGACACTATTGGTCTGATGATTGCCAGATTTAGAACTTCTCTCTAGAAAACAGTCACTAGCTTTTCCATAAGCAGCAAAACATCACTCATCATGTATGTTGTTGCAACGAAAGAATATCATCATTATTTTTCGTCTGAATATCACTAATGTGAGATTCCATAGCTTTTTTCTGAGATAAACGAACCACTGCTTTATGATGGCTAACGCTGTCACGGTGCTCTTTAAGGGCAGATTTTTAAAAATTGATACAGCCTTTTGTAAAGCCATTTATTTTAGTCGCAGACTCACAAATTCGACAAAACATAACACCTGCTTTTGATTGGCTTACCGGAGCCATGGAAACTCCTCTTTCCAATCGGTGTTGAATTTTCTGAACTTTTTAAATTTTGTTTCACAGACTGTTTAGCTGGAAGTTGATAATTCTTTCTCGTTCACTTGTTATTTTCATTAAGAACCAAAATGCCCAGAAAGCGTCATCTGCTTTGAAGCCGCCATTTTCAAACGATGATTTTTGTAAATGATGATTTTTGTAAAGAAGCATGTACAATGTGAATGACCACCCCCACCCCCCCTGCATATCATGTACAAAATCATTGCCCTTTGCCCCTTTCCATAATTTTTAAGCTTAATTCTTTAATATATTTATGTACAAAATTGCAGACACCCACCCCCACCCCCATATATGTGTACACAATTGTTGACACCCCCACACACACACACCTCCCCAGAACAAAATGGTGACCCACCCCACTCTTAAAATCATCATGACCCACAGGCCATAAATTATGAACGGTCACTTAATTATTCATTTCCTATCTTTAAGTTTTTCTACTACTGGCCCCGATAGAGTATTGCTTTCTGATACATTATAGCCTCACGCCAAAATGCCTCTCATCTGGGTCGAGGCTAAGCGAGGCATCCAGCCAATGACAATAATCACTAGGAGTTGTTACTAAATATAGACACAGAATTCCATATGCGTATCGCATATGGTGCAGATTGAATTTACACGGTAGTTTCCTTAAATCTTAACAGTTGTCGGTATTTTTATTGCCTATTTGGAGGAAATAATTTAACCAGGTGAATTTATTGCTTGTCTCCAGGACTTGTTTGCCAGTACACAGAAACAATGAATCCAGCTCAACAATCCCTATCAGTTTGTCCGCCCGCGCACCGCTTCCATTCGGTGGTACACTTCCCTCTAGTGTGCCGATATTGTATGGGTCAAGTGTTCACTCCAGTCTGCCGCTCACACACAGTTCAGCACTTCAGAGCGGCCCTACACTTCTGATTGGTTCGTCAATGAAGGCGAGTGCCTTAACATGCAGGTTAACATGCTAAAAACCTAAAATGCTAAAAGTTTTTGTTCACAGGTATGGTATCCATTGCTGTAATATGAATTATGACTGTGAAAATACTCTTGGGCAAGGTTCCGGTGGTATTGCTGATGTTCAGAATCCTCGAATGATACCCGACATCAAACGAATCACCTCGCAAGTTTCGAAGCTTCGAAAACGGAGGTATTTCACGCTGTTGTGTCATGCTACCGAGCGGAAAGCCACTGATATCGGGAAATAGGCGACCATACATATTATTTCAGAAATCTTTTCATAATAAGTTTTGGATTGCATAAAATGAAAATATAAAAGTAAAAGGTAAGGGGATATTATGATATATTATAAATGGAAAAAAACACCGCAGTTTTCACTTCCTTCAAGGTTTACCCACACATAACAAATGTGTAGGCTTGCATTTTCATTAAATATAAATTTACTTAAGTTGTAGTTGTATTATTTGTATAATATGATAAAAAAATGTTTCATATTTATCAAAAGAGGATTAGACCTTTCAAATGGTGCACGAGATCTAGTAGCAATAGCATTTTTAGAACCGTAGGTTTCTTCTATGACCACAGAGTGTCTTGGAACTCAGTGTCTTGGCAGTAAAAGCCATAAAAGGTGTTGAAAGAGTTAAAGGATAATTATGAAAAACAATCCATGGTTGCGATGTCCCAAGGTTATATGAAGAATATCCAAGCATTAATTTTGATGGATGGCTCATTATATAAGAGGATTAGCTTGGATTGTTGTACAGGGGAATTTTCCTCCCAACCGTCCTATTGGGCGAAAATGGAGAAAGTGATGAGTTACTGCATGGTCAGAATAAGGAAAAATACTTAATTTTGCAAATCGGGGTGGTCCTTAACTCTTTTTTGTTGAGTAGTATATAATGAGCTCTAAACTGGATTCTGAAACAATCTAACAACCAGCTGAGCTCACAATTTAGATAAAAAAATCACAATGAATTATTCAATTGTTGCTGAGCATTCATACCAACTGTTTACCTTTTTTTTCATTTGTGCATCAAAGTCATCTTTTGCCCTCTTTGCTGTCTCCATTTTCTCTTGGAGTGGTTCATGCTGTGATCTTGCCTGCTTTACTTCTTCTTCCTTCTCATCACGCAGTTTCTTCTCTTCTAAATACTGCTTTCTCTTTTCTTCATATTCCTAAACCACAAGAAGACAAAGTCATCAAAATCCCCCGCAATGGAAAAATACTCTTCATGATGAAGTCTATGAGTCTATGAAATCTATGAGTTATGATTATGTCAAATATTTAGGTGTGTATATAAAAAAGTGGAAGGAGAGTATTGAAAAGTTTTTAAAGTTCTGCCCCAGAAAGGAGCACTATCACAAATTTCAGTCTATGTCAAACTTGTTGCCATGGAAATGCCAAAAATATTTTATTCAGAAATCCAAAACTACCAAAAGGCACCAGTACAACACCAGATCTATCTAGGTGCCAAGTTTGGTGAAGAAACATTGAACGGTTTAAGAGTTCAGCTCCGGAAAAGAGCACTATCACCAATTTCAGGCTAAGTCAAACTTGTTGCCACGGAAAAGCCAAAAATATTTTATTCAGAATTCCAAAACTACCAAAAGGCACCAGTACACCACCAGATCTATCTACGTGCCAAGTTTGGTGAAGAAATAGTGAACGGTTTTAGAGTTCTGCTCCGGAAAAGACAAATGTGCACGGACGGACGGAGTCCATTTTAATACCCCCCCGCAAAACGCGGGGATAATAAGAAGGATAAATGTTGTCCTTACTTGCTCTGTTGGTAAATCATGACATTAACCAAACATCTACAATTCCTCCCAACACATACCAATACTTCCTTCAAATATACATACTGACTTACCACCCAGGGTCTTTTCATTTTTAGAACTCTGACTTTCTCAAGATGAATCTGACGTTCTTCAAAATTTTTCACATCCTGTTCGAGTCGCGAGTTTTTTTGCTGCTCCTGCTGAAGGCGCCCCTCAACACTCTCACAGCTTTGCTCCATCTGTCGACTGTCCTTCCTAGCCTCCTTCAGCTTCTGGTGGAGCTCATACAGGTCTTCACTCACCTAAGGACAAAATATATGGTGTGGGTTACTCCCAGAGTTTCATGTGATAGAAATGTGCAACCAGTACACAAATACAATTCAGAATGGAAGCCAAAAGTGTGAGCAAGGCTCACTAATACCCTTGACCATGACTCTTAAAGGCCGGGGTTCAAACCTATACACAGATGGGGTGTGGCCTCCTTGCCTTGTCAAAGCTGTCCTTAGATGCAAAGCAATGTAGTATTCAAGTACATTCCATGAAATTTCCCACTGTGTCAGTCAGGTGGCCAGATGAGGTGCGTTTCCATAGAAACAAGCCTTGGCTTGGGGAAATGTTTCATTCAGGGTTTCATATTTCAGGCAGGCTGGGAAAATGCCCCCTCCCCACTCCCCTGACACCATGCTGTGCAGGACTAGGGTTGTCCACTTATCTGATGCTGACATCTCTTTGCTGAAGATTATATATTCAGAATATAAGTAAAATTTGATGTTTCATATATGCTAATCAAATTAATCTCTTTAGTCATCAAAGTATGAAGTGAAAGGGTTGTTGGTAATTTACTATAAGGCACATGTTTATTCTAAAGTACTGTCAGAAATAGAAAAAACTGTTTTTTAGGCTGTTACTCTGTATCCCTAAAATTTACACAACTGCAAATAGCATATGTCGAAATAACCCACTCGGCTTGTCTTGGCATTCAGTGGGATGCGTAATAGGATATCCAGAATAGCATGTTTACTCGTAAAATCGGACAAAATTTAGAAAAAATACGAATAGCTGCTGAAATCAAGAAGACAAAGTCATCAATATCCCCCGCAATGGAAAAATACTCTTCATGATTATGTCTACGAGTTATGATTATGTCAAATATTTAGGTGTGTATATAAAAAAGTGGAAGGAGAGTATTGAAAGGTTTTTTAAAGTTCTGCTCCAGAAAGGAGCACTATCACAAATTTCAGTCTATGCCAAACTTGTTGCCATGGAAATGCCAAAACTAGTTTATTCAGAAATCCAAAACTACCAAAAGGCACCAGTACACCACCAGATCTATCTATGTGCCAAGTTTGGTGAAGAAATAGTAAACGGTTTTAGAGTTCTGCTCCGGAAAAGACAAATGTGCACTGAGGGACAGACGGACGGACGGACGACGCACGGGCGGAGTCCATTTTAATACCCCCCGCAAAACGCGTTGAGGGGGATAACAATAGATCAGACTATACATGGCAATTAGGTCGCTCAGCAAGGTATGACAACGGACTGTCGACTCACCTGGCTTGAAATGCATGTGCTGCCTACAGGAACAAGGGGTCATCTCAAAGATATTTTGTGTTTTTTCATGTGTGTTGACTATGTCTTATCTATTGATTAACATCTTACGTGTCTTTCTTTCATAAAGTTTATGTTGAGATATGTAAAAGAGTATGATACCTGATAACCATCGTACCATAACTCATCGTATTAAATGTCTCAAAATATATAGGTGGCATGACCACCCGACTGACTGACTGAGTTTAGTTTTACGCCGCTTTTAGCAATATTCCGCCAATATCACGGCGGGGGACATATGACCACCCGAAGATCGACAGGACTGGATATTATTTCTAAATTGTTATGACATGCCATGTACTTCTCCAGTATAACTGCCCTAAAGGATTACTTTATCTTAGCTGATATCTCTATCCCCCAGCCCGACCCAACTGCGGCACCCGTTTTGCTTTTGAGACGACCCCTCCTATCTGTTTCTTTTTATAGTGACAGTGTGACTCCATGGTAGCTTCATCCTTAATAGTTTCAGCATGAAAGTTATTATTTTTTTACGTCGGCTATCGTTTATAATGAAGCTACGTCTAATTTCAAATTGGGCATTTAAAAAGTGTCCTTTGGAATACAATATCGTCGCACACTAATTTGCATAAAGCCATGGTCTGTTCCAAAGAAGTCGTTTTGGACTTAGAAAAAACCCGCATTGCTCATTTCTGCACTAATCTCTCCTCAGTAAAGTCCTTTTTCTACGTTTCCTATCTCCCTACCACTGAGACTGTAGTTAGGCCGAACTTAGTTTAACAGATATTTCACACTTTCACATATCAACTACATAAATTGTAGAGATAAATGAGAAAATACAGGGTTTTTTCTATTTCCGACAGTACTTTAGTAGTAAATTCCAATGTTAAGCTTTGACATCGCCAGGCTCATGCCAGGCACCCATAGCTGTTACAGCCTTGTCCCTCACAGGCTGATATCATCTTCACTGCTGAGGGGCAGCAAATGGGAGACTATTTGGAAACCCACGGGGGTTTTGGAGGTGAACAATGATTAATAACGATTATTAATGACAGCACATCAGGAATCTCATTTCTAATAACTGGTATGTGTCTGTCTCGAGCTTGAATCCCAAGAGAAAATGTATCAACACATAACTAAAGTACTGTCGGAAATACTAGAAAAATGCTTTTTTGCCTTAATATCTTTACAAAGGTGATAAATGTATTATGTTGTCAATATATCAACTCACATATAGTGTACCTAATTTTAATTTCAATTGATTTAACATTCCCATGGATTTAAAGGGCAGTTTACAGGAGAGAATTTGGTACCAAAACAACAACTTCAGATTTTTTCAGAGTTCAACAACAGAAATCTGAAATAGTCCTTACATTTATGCTAATAATACAGGTGGTGTAAAAATATAAATTAACGTTTTTCTTAAACAAATAAATGTTGAATGTTTGTGTTACTTTACTTAATTATCGTTTCTTTCTTGAAGACATATTCAACACCGCAGGCCGCTTAAGCGGCCACAACGTTATGAGTCCCCAGACACCGGAGGCCGATTAAGCGGCCAGGCAGTAGTCACGTCAAAATGAGACATAATTTTAGGAACCTACCTGACTTATGATTCATATATTAAATCTATCACATTTTACAATGTCTGAAAACACTTATTAAATTTCAATTTATCATATATTATCAGCAGAATTAAAATTATAAACTATTTTTCGCAATGTTATTGAAAACAACGATTCTCGGACACATGCTTCGGCAGCGGGTCTACAACAACATTGTCAAAGAGCAAAGTAACGATGTTTCGAGGAATTCATTAAATAAATTGAATGAACTAATGAATAAAATCAACAACAGCATTCATAAAAGTTGTCAAACGGACATATAAAATTACTATTTCCATCTTTTTGTGCGATCATGTAATGCAAGTCAAGTCACTGACGAGTGACATCTCGGCTCTCGCCGCCTCAATCTTCACGCTCGGACACGATGTTTAATGCGAAAATATATACATGAAGCCTTTTTGTCATAGGTCATAACCTAGCACGATACGTCCAATAAGTTCCATAATTTACGTACAGGTAGCGATTTCTTGCTTAATATGTTCAGAATAGCATTATTTTACCCAAAACTTTTGTCTAAATCTGAAGGTTTTCGTTTACGAGGACGGTATCCATTGCTGTAATATGATTGGCTGCCTCAGGTCACGTGTCTGATTTTGACCAATCACGACCCTTATAACAGACTGTGGCGAAAAAGCGTCATTAGAAACCAATCTTTATCCAATAAAATCGCTTCTTACAACTGTGAAAATACTCTTGGCAAGGGTACAGTGATATTGTTGATGTTCAGAGCTTTCGAACGATGCCCGACATCAAACGATTCGCCTCGCATGTTATGCACACGAAGCTTCGAAAACGGAGGTATTTTCCGTTGTTATGTCATGTTACCGAGGGAAAGCCACAGATATCGGGAAATAGGCGACCATACATATTATTTAAGAAATCTTTTTATAATAATTTTCTGATGACGTAAAAATGAAAATATAAAAGAAAAAGGCACGGGCATGTTATCACATGTCACAAATGGAAAAAAATCGCCATAGTTTTTGCTTCTTTCGTGGTTTATCTGGACGTTATAAATGTAAGCTTGCATTTTCATTCAAAAATACATTTATTTAAGTTGTAGTTGTATTATTTGAATAATATTATAAAAATAAACTTCATATTTATCAACAGTAGGATTAGATCTTTTAAAAGGTGTATGGGATGTAGTAGCAATAACGTTTTACAAGCTTATAATTTCCTTCATAAACATAGGCTTCATCTATGACCTCAGGGTCTCTGGGAACTCGGTGTCATGGCAGTAAATGCCTCTGGTTGACTGGTGTTGAAAGAGTTAATATAAATGTTAAGTCTTGATAAATAAGTTTCCCGTCATGCATACACATCTTTATCACAGCCTCCACTATGGCCAACTATTTGCAGACGATTGTTGCAAAGGTTTATAAGTTTGTTGTGCTTGAAAAAAGACAGAGGTAAACCTTTCATTAGTATAGAAATGGTTTAATACAGAACTTGTAGAGGTGTTGGTATGTCTTACCAACAAGTTTACAATATTGTAAACAGATCAGACAAGACAGGGACCGCTCAAAAGCAAAACCGGGACGTAAAACCATCCTTGACAACTTTGACAAGGGAGTACAAACTTTAGGAGAAGAAGAATATATATATTCTAAAGAAGCTACACCAGTGACTTCGATAAATCTTTGGCCAATGTTCACAACTAGATTAAACTGACTGAATTACATCCATATTTTTGCAATGAAATATACTGTTGACATGCAAAACATTTATTAATTAAACATTGCACATTTCTACAATCAATCGATAAGATAACACAAGTGATAGGATTCTTTCCAATGTACAGTAATTCGCATGTATATTTCAAAACAAACACACATACACAAATGATCCCTCACATAACTGATACGTATACTACGGTATACGTACACATATTCAACATTTTGAAGGAAACATCTATTGAGATAACCCCTTCCCCGAGCTTGTGCTCAGGTGTCAATTTCACCTGTCGATACCGTGCATGCTGATGACGTAACACAGGCAGTTAATGTTTGTATCAAATAACGTCCCACTACCCCTTATTTTTCTAAGTTTTTGGTATTTTCATCAGTAAAAACACATTTTAGGGCATGTCTCAAAATTTATTCCCTCGGTCTACATTAGGTAGATGTTTCTTAAAGTGATATTTGTTATTTAAGTAACTGTAATGCCTCTGAATTTTAAATATGACTCAAAAAGCATTTTTCTAGCATTTCCGACAGTATTTTAGTAGGTCATTCACAGACCCTGATCTCGTTAAGTCTATCTTGAAATATCAGGACTTTCATCAAATGAAATATGAGCTACATGATTTGAATCATTTCTCTCCAATGTGTGATCACCCAGATCAGTACTTGAAATTCAAGGTCACTGATGTAAAGTCTCCTTCTTCCAAAAAATGGTATCTCCGAGTTGTCAACTACACTGGTAAATTCTCATGCTGAATGGAGATGAGATAATACCCAACGCTGAGACAGTTGGACACAAATGGGTTGTCAAATACCAACCACTTGTTTGCAAAGAGACCATGTTCTCTGCCTTCTGGCAAATCAAAAATAGGGACTACTGGGGGCAGTAGTTCTAAGTTTCACTGATCCAAAGCGACATGATTGTACAGAGGTCCAGTCCAAGAGCTGAATCTCCTTCATCACTGACCTCTGGTTGATGGTTAATGGTGACAACCGTCATAACTGTGGCTGATAACTTAATATTTTGTCCCTTGTACCCATGTTTTTTCATGCCTCCTTTGCCACAAAATTCATTATTTCTGGATTGACTGGCCTTCCTAAGATTTAGGTTGTTAGGACTGAGCCATGCCAGCCTCTGAAGAGACCGCTTTAACAGAAAGCGGCACAAAAGTTCCATCTCCACTTCTCTACCAATCAACTTGATGGTATTGTTGAAGGGTGCTTAAGAATACCTGGATTTTTGAAAGAGTCTAACCTTGAAATCATTGTTCTAACCACAGGAATGGAGGTTCCCTCAATGTCTTGAGGCTGTGATGTAACCCAGGACACCTGTCCACATGTCCCTATTGCTGACAGGATTGTCGATATGGCTTGGAGCAAATGTCCATTCCCGGTATTACCGTGTGCCATTTCACTGCTCTCAAGCCTAAGCTGCAGTTTGGATTCACATATTGATATAAAAACCTTGTGAAGTTAATTGCCAAGATGAATGGAGGGACAGATGGCTGAGAAGAGAATGGTAGCAAATTATGAAATGGAGCTCATTTGCATCATGTCACTACTAGTTTAGATTCATAGCTTTCAGGAGTAGGATAGGAAAATGATTTCATGCATGATAACTATCTGAAGCCTATGTTTATGACAGCTAATCTTACAGATGCCTTTAACTGTGCATGATTATGGCAGACCAATGTCTCATGTATGATATTTTAGTGGCATGTAAACATATCTGCCCATCATTCGTTTATGCCACACTCTCGAAATCCTTTTATGAGAATATTCATTAAGTCATTCCACATGAACTGGTTGGCTAACATACTTTTCAAAAATTGCCCGTTACCCACCGCTTTCTGAGTATTCTCAAGAAGCTCCTGCTGTGTCATTTTGGCAAACTCTGCAACACGGTCCTGTGGAAGGAACTGGCACAGGTTGCCTACCTGGATGTTCAGGTTACTGACCATCAGCTCCACCTGCAAACATCAAATATACATGACATCTTTAGTTCAATATTACTAACAAAGATGGTGTTTGTCGGTTAATGCTCCACTTAATGATATTCCAGCTATATAACCACAGCCTTTATATTATCAAGTCGATCAGACATTCCAGTTATCATATTATGTAATATGACAAAAACATCATCAAAACAAAATAGTCTTGCAAGACATATCAACATTTCCAACCCTCCCACTTGTATATCGACAGGTGTAATAATAAAAAACGCTCAAAATACACCTGAAACAAAATTGCTATAAAATAATTTGTACATACCAGTATACATGTTGTTTGTATTCCTTTGTAACTGATCAAAACTATGGTTTGTAACAATTAAGTGAGAATATGTGTTTTTAGATTTTTAAATAAAAGCAATACACACATCTTGTTGATGGGCACTATGAACAGTATCTAAACGTTAATGATAGTGCCCTTGTCAAATTATTGCCCAGAGACAAATTAGCAAGGTATTCTCTGTAACCTCTGCTCTACTTCAATGCACCAATAATCTGGTGTTTTTTCGCAAGTCTCTGTCAGTTCCAAATAGAACCTGAGAGTGAGTACTGGATGTAACACGAGATTCACCTGTCTTCATTTCCGAGCATAGGAGACAATGAAGATATAGTGAACCACAAAATAAGTTCCCCCATTCTTACATTTTAGCCACCAATCATCTGAAATCTGGACCTCTGTCAACCTGTATCTGTATGACATCTAAAGCATGTATTTTCATGCTTGATCCTTCGGTTCAATGGGTTGTGACACTAGATGTTGCAGAACCACCTTTGGCTCTCTACCTGGAATTCTGAAATACTTTTGGTCCTGTAGTCCGAGGGTCTCCGACATAGTTTTTTTCCAGCTCTATGCTGGAATTTATGGACCTTGAAAATACTTGTACTGACTTAATGACTGCCATGTAGGTACCAATGGTACCCACCTGGCAACAGTCTGGTAGTTCATACAAACATTATGCAATAACAATAACATGGACTTAACTGAGTCATTTTGCAGTAGGCTTCACATGAACAGGCTTGAGTTACCCTCCTTAAACTGTGAAGTAATCGGTGCCAATTAACCTTTATCATACCGGTACTAGATACCATTGTCAGAAACACTTCAAATTTACAGGAGAATCTCATAATGGTGTAACTAAGAAATATCCAAAATGTCATGGTGTTATCACGAACGGTTCCAGGGATACAGGTATGTTCCCATATGGGAACATTGGCAGGATCATCGGGAAAAATGAAACAAAACTATATTTTTGCAACACATCTTTTATTTCTTGAAATTTAGTGAACAAAACTTTCTTTAACACATAAATCAATGATGCAGGAATGTTCCAGGATGAGCAAGGTAATGAAATGTTTCTTAAACAATCACATATATTATGACGATGAGGTCGTATATAAATTTCAGTAGATTGGTACTGATTGCTACTTCCACTAAGGCAGCTGGAATGGGTTTCCTTCGCAAAATTTTAGCGACCAAAATCAAGTGGCAAGTGTTCCTGAATGTTAGCCCAGCCTTCTCAAAATTGCCCTTGAACCAGGTCATCTGGTTCTAATGGGAGATTTCAAAATCCATGTTGATTCTGTGTTGACTCCTTTGCTAAATCTTTTTGTGACATGCTTGCATCTTTCAATCTCCTACAGCACGTCTCTGGTCCAACTAATTGATCAGGTAAAACACTAGACCTAGTCATAACCAAGGATAGTTGTGATATTCTGGATGTCGTTGATGTTCTGTGACAAATAGATATCTGATCATTCACTTATCCAGTTCCCTCTCTTCAGTCAAACTCTCTAAACCAAGTGAGAAAAGAAATTAGCTACAGGAAAACTTGAAATATAGACATCAGGCAGTTTTCTAATGACATAGGATCTTCTGAGATGCCACAGTCACTCTTTGATTCTTGTGGAGTTGATGATAAGACTGATGTGTTTACTACTTGCTTATCACAAATATTGGATATGCATGCTCGTCTGAAGTCTAATTATGTTGTAATTCGTCCTCGCTGTGGCTGGTATAACGATGACATCCGCAAGCAGAAACAGATATGCCGTGCAGCTGAAAAAACAATGGTGTCTTCAAAATTGGAAATTCATCAACAGCTCTTCAAACCTGCCAGGAATAATGTCAGTAAAGCTTTAGCAGCAGCCAAATGAGCATTTGTATGCACCTTGAAAGAACGCAACTGAAACAATTTTATATTCCTTGTTGAGCAGTAGTGTTGGGAATCGACCTCTAACACCATAATTGATTATCGATGTCTTCTGTCGATCAATTATCGATAAATGATCGACTACAAGTATGGACTAATGGCCACAAGACCAGCTGGATGAGAGGACTGCTACAAGATTGCTTGTAATAAAGATCTGCCATATGACATGAGATCGTAACACATTCTGCTTAGAAATGGACTAAAAAACACTTTAACGAAAGGATATTGAGAATCATGGAGTATTTGACAACAAATATAAATTTAGATCACAATTTTTACAGCTGAACGATACGCCCGTCAACTATTGTGTGTGAAAATTGAGAAACGTTGAACTCAAGATCTACGTGTCGACTTCGATGCAGAAATCAGAATTGAACGGCTATAGATCTAAGAACAGATGTGACAAATATCAATAAAGCTATCCATTTCCAACCTTGTTTGTGAATTTGACGAGAATTGAGCCTTTCGCAAATACAAAATGTTTTCTCGAAGCGAACACATGTGCGGGAGAGCAGGCATTTTGTTGAGTCTGCTCAGCCAATCAAACCGCATGTTTCGATCACGTGTTATCTTTCTCAGGAGTATATGTTGTTTTTAAAGCTACATTTTCATAACATACTACTTTTATGAAACCTTCATCAATGCTTGCATATTCAAACATGTAATTAAACATGGGTCTAAATAATATATGCATCCACGCTAAAACTGCTGTTACGCTGCAAGCCACTACCTGCACAAGAAGAAAACGACCGCTCCCTCGGCAAGCTATAAATAAAGTTGACTTCCGGTATTACGGCTGCGATCCGAGCCTACCTGGAGGTATTTACAAATCTTGCATGTACACCAATGCATGTTATTCTTGAAGATAGTATTCAGAGTTATTGATTGAATTTTTTTAAATCGATAATTGAAGTTTGATTGTCTAACGATCAATAAACTGATTATTTGATCGATCGGTGCACCACTATTGAGCAGGCTCTTGAAGTGGGATACAAATTGTACAAATTATTGTACTCCAGCCGATATGTACTAACAGACGTGGGATATAGGTCAAGAACTTACTTAAGACATTAGACGTACTCTGCAGAATCAGGTTTTCAATGAATGTTTCAGTGGTACACATTTGTACGAGCTCTCCTTAAAGGTCACATGCAACCAAAAAATCAAACATAATTAAAACACAATTATCACTTATTCATGACATATAAACATTGCTGATTATGAAAAAACAAATAAACAAAATTATAAGCGTACGATCGCAAATCAAGAGTGCAATATTTTGTACTTGGGTTTACTTCCCTCAAAACGAAGCACCCGGGACACCGAACCCAGTCAGATTGGGTGGCCAGGCACTTATGTGTAACAAAGGCTTTCATTGGCTGGTTTATTTGCCGATGCCCTCACGGCTCATTGCGTGTGTGTATATAGAGATGTTGGGTTTTGTAAATACATGCTCATTTTTTGTGTATAACATTTTGCAATCAACAGACATCATAACATGTCATGTGTACAAGTATCACACTTGCCTGTCTGTGTAATTACATAATGTGACAGAGACAGAACTTTGGCCATAAATCAATGCGTTTTGTTTATGGTGTATAGCCTGATAGGTGTTAAGTTCAAATTGCATGTGGTCAGTGATCGAAGTTGTGTATTGAATATTGTCATTAGCAGACAGGCAGGCAGACACACAGGTGTCAATAAAACAGACATTGAGTTTTGTCTGTGACAGAGGCATATCTATATCACAGTTAGAAATTCTGTCAACGCTAAATAATGACATTGCTTTTAAGTATCGAACTGAGAAAGTGACTCGGTAAGAAGAACGTGTGGTGAAATAGACAAATGAAATTATATAAACAGTTAAATCGGTAATCTACTGTCATAACATAAAAAAAGCTTGCGCCTGTGAAAAATCAACAAAACATGAGAAAAATAGCTCAAATCAAAGCCTTCACCGAGTATTCACCGCCAGCGAAGGTTTTCCTTCTTAAAATGTCGAACACCTCACTGGTTGACACATACTAGTAGCTGAATAGATCTAGATCCTAAGAAGGTTCTTTTATGTAATGAGTAGATTATATACTATTTGTTTTGATTAGACTACTCCTGCTCACGACCTTATAATCCGGACATCCCGCTTCCAAGCTGCGCGAACCTATTTCACTGTGCATGTGCTATGAGCGCAGCCCAGCGCAGCTGTTGAAACCACTTTTCACCCCAAGCGCTGGGCTGAATTTAGTGAATCGTTTGAACTCCGATTTCGAGGGTTTTTTTTCATCGAGTTATTTTTCAACTTTATAAATTGAATTTGCATTTTTGATGATTTGTATCTGTAAGTCCATACCGAAAGGTATTAGAATCTGCAAAGTTGTGTTTTACGTTGCATGTGACCTTTAACCTATCCAGAAGAAATAAGACAGGTTATATCCAAAGCTAAAGGAACTTCTAGCCTGGAATCCATACCAACTTGGCTGTTTAAAGCAAGCTTGTATTGTCTCATCAGTTCATTGTCCAAAGTGGTCAACAGTTCATTGAGGGATGCCACGGTTCCCAGTTTCCAAACAGGAAGTCGTCACTGCTCTCATTAAAAACGCCAATATAAATTCGGATGAGTTAAAGAACTACCAGCCAGTATCTAATCTGTCTTTCATTTCAAACTGTTTGGAGAAAATTGTTTCACGGGAGCTTGAAAAACGCCTACTCAATAATGACCTGCTGGAACCCTTCCAGTGTGCTTACAAATCAAAA